ACCTGGATTGGTGAACAAGGCCGAAGTCCACCATTCTCCAGTTCTCGAAGCTCTCTCTCGCTACAAAAATGCTTGCTACACACACATAGTTTAAATGTGTCCGTGGTTGATGGCCAACCAACCACCCGCACCCAGAGTCTAGCCCTGGCAGCATCGCGGGGAAAGATATGCAACGCACTGGAACTTTTGCTCATCTACTGCGCGATATCACAGTTTGACATGTCTGTCATTGGAAAGATCCACGTGGTGTCATGAATAATTAAGAGACAGTGTCTTCTCATAGGATAAGAAAACTCAGTCTCATGAATAATTATGAGACACCGATGAGTCAAAGCACTCACAGTGCACTGCAACACGATGAAGATTTTAAACCCGGAAGACAAAAATAGCGGGAAAAAACTAAAATTTAACCATGTTTCCCCTAATATTAAATCTAACAGATGCTAACATTGTCTTCAATGGTGTTCAACACACATACCTCTGTTAAAATCCCAGAAAATTGGGTTTAGGGTTTCATGACCCTTTAACACACTGCCCACTCATACTAAGGGACATACTCTTGATCTTGTTTGCTGCTCTGGTATAACACCTTTTAATTGTACTGTTTCTGATCTATTCATATCAGATCACTTTCTGGTGTCCTTTTGTGCCAAACTGGCAGTTTTTAAGGTAAACCCGTGTCGTCCGATCACATTTCAGAATATTAAGAATATAGATGTGCCTACTCTTGCTGATGAACTTGCCATCTTTTCCAGTAAATCTGATTTCTCTACTGTTGACGAACTGGTTACATATTACAATTATGGACTGAACATGATTTTAGATGAATTTGCACATGTGAAAACTCGATCTGTTTCATTTGTACATTCAGCTCCTTGGTTTACACCTGAACTGCGTGAACTTAAAACTCAAGGCCGTAGGTTAGAGCGGTTGTACGTCAGGTCTGGCCTTAATGTTCATAAAGAAATGTATGCTAAACATATTCAAAATTATAAAAATGCACTGTCCAAAGCTAAATCTGATTACTACTCCAACGTAGGAGTTAGCAATGGGAACTCCAGGTCACTTTTATTGGTAGTAAACAATATTCTGAAACCACCGGATTCTTTGCCATATGATATATATTCCACTGACTTATGTGATCGCTTTTTGACTTTTTTTGCATCTAAGGTTGAAAATGTACATCAGCAATTACTCACTGGTACTCTCCACAATGACTCCTGTCAGTCTGTCACTCATGCACCTCCCCACTCTGTTTTCTCTACCTTTAAACTACCAACTACTTCAGAGATAGTGGGTCTGATAGGTAAATCTAAATCTTCGACTTGCCAGTTGGATCCTCTACCAACTCCTTTAGTGAAAGCTTGTTTACCAGCCCTGTCGCCATTGATCACTAAAATTGTTCAGGCTTCACTTGTTTCTGGTTCTATATCTCCATCTCTTAAATCTGCTATTATTACTCCCATAATTAAGAAACCAGGGGGTGATCCATTTAATTTTGATCATTTTTGTCCAATTTCAAATGTACCATTTATCTCTAAGGTATGATCATGAAAATCTCTCCAATAACAACTTGTATAAACAATTCCAATTTGGTTTTCGTCCCCCCTAAAAAGTTTTAGATCAAGAATATCTACAGTCACCACTGGTGTTCCCCAGGGTTCTGTTTTGGGCCCGCTTCTTTTCATTATTTATATGCTCCCTCTTGGTTATATTTTGAGGAAATATGGTATTAATTTTGACTGTTATGCGGATGACACCCAACTTTACCTGTCTGCCAAACCCACCGTTTCTTTTCCTCCACCATCTTTGTCCAGCTGTTTAGCTGAAATCAAAGATTGGCTTTCAGCTAACTTTTTGAAGGTAAATGACAGCAAAACTGAGGCTCTGCTTGTTGGCACTTGATCTGTTGTGTCTAAATCTAATTGCTTTTCTTTGTACATTGACAATACTGCAATCTGTCCTTCAACACAGGTTAAAAGTTTGGGTGTCATCATGGATGGCACACTATCCTTTGAAGCTCAAATTAATATCACGCGGGTTGTATACTTCCACTTGCGTAGTATTAACCGTCTCTGTCCCTTTCTTTCAAATAATAATACTGCAGTTCTTATTCACGCACTAGTCACTTCACATATAGACTACTGTAATGCTCTTCTCACAGGTATTCCCTCCAAACTGCTACATAAGCTTCAGTTGGTTCAGAATTCTGCAGCTCGTGTTCTCTCTAGAACACCTTATACTGAGCACATTTCTCCAGTTCTTCCGCAATTGCACTGGCTTCCAGTAAAATATAGAGTTGAATTCAAAATCTTGCTATAAGGCACTTCATAATCTTGCACCACAATACCTTACTCAACTTCTCCATGTTTACACTCCTTCACGTGCTCTCAGATCTTCATCTTCAATTTCTCTTGTAGTACCTCGGATTCGACTTACTACCATGGGTGCCAGATCTTTTAGTTATGCTGCCCGCCGCCTATGGAACTCTCTTCCCATTGATGTTTGCAATAGCGAGTGCTTGTTGACTTTTAAAACGCGTCTTAAGACATATCTTTTTATAAAATGTTTTATTGAGACTTTACTGCACTTGATCTGTATATGCGACTTGTTTGTTGTGTGTTTTGTCTAATGCAGTGACCTGTATATTGCTTGTGAGGTGACCTTTCTTGTGAGGTTATGAAAGGCCCCATTAAATAAAATGCGTTGTTATTATTATTATTATAATAATCATAGCCATTATTAGACGTGCATTGCAGTTTGAGCTGCGCGCGCTGAAGCTGAAGATGATCACCGTACGCTTTTCTACAGTGTTAATTCTTAACCAAATGCATCCTTAATGAGATAAATCTGATATAGATAGGCCTACACAAAATAAACACAATATTACAACTTACATTTGCACAAAACAAAAGGCTGCGAATGCACACGCAAACTTAGTCATGATGAAGGTGTAAAATGGTCCCAAACATAACTCCGTCGTGCTCGCTTTACATGTTTTGCGGTTGAGCAGCACGTACGCGCATGAACCTGCTTAATCGACGATCGATAAGTTTTATCGATTAAATGTATTAACGACAATTAATCGATCGTTGATTAATCGTTAACAACCCTACTTTCCTTTGGAGTAAACCATTGCTAACACAAGAAAGAACACAATGATTGGAAGCACTTCTTCCCTCCTTTTATAGCAATCAGTCTGCTCTTATAATCCAATCAGAATGATAGAACAATCAGTAATGAATGACTAGTACTCGTTCACACCTTGCCATGTGCTGATGATATAATTAGTGAAATGAGGTTAGCTGGTCATTTTGTGCCAGGGCCAAATACAAATAATCTAGAGACAATGTGACTCAACACCACAACAACTGAAACAACAAAATTTGCGAAACACCAAAATTATTTCACTGGCAAAACTTTTGGCCACGACTGTAGTTAAATATTTTGTTAAGATTTTTAAATCCTTTATGGTGGATTTAAACTTCCTGTTATTCCTACAAACACAACAAATCTGGCCACATCATTTCAAAACATGTATATTTTCCCCCGAAAATGTAGACACAAGCATGTAATTATTCAGGTTCAGGCTCCAATTTAAAAAATGTATTTACAATATCTCTGCCAAGACAACGAAACAAAGCATTCAAACTTCTTTGAACTAGTATAACATATATTTAAATGTTCTTTATATGACTTCCAAAGCATGACAACACAAAGTTGCTAAATGGAAAAGTCAGAAAAGCTGAGCTCTGACATCAGTTTTTTACAGGAGGTTTTACAGTCATTGTTGGATCAAATATGCCTCACACATCATTTTAAAACTAGATGACTAGCTAGGGGTGGAACGGTACATGTATTCGTATTGAACCGAAACAGTACGGGCGTCATGGTTCGGTGCACGAATTTGCACGGAGAATACACGGTATAAAAATAAAATAAATAAAACTCTAAATAGAGATAAACATTGCTCTATTCGCGTTTGGTGTGAACACAGCATAATTAACAGGCTGCGATGTCAAGATTGCAATGCTTGTGTGTGTGTGTGTGTGTGTGTGTGTGTGTGTGTGTGTGTGTGTGCGCGCACGAGAGAGAGAGGCGCGGGCGCGATCGAACTGTGTGTGTGTGTGTGAGAGAGAGAAGAGAGAGGAGAGAGAGAGGAGAGGGAGAGGGAGAGGGAGAGGGAGAGAGAGAGAGAGAGAGAGAGAGAGAGAGAGAGAGAGAGAGAGAGAGAGAGAGAGAGAGAGAGAGAGAGAGAGAGAGAGAGAGAGAGGCGCGGGCGCGATCGAACAGTGGAAACATAAAAACATACTCCGTCATTTTGTTCATACAGGACATCTTTCAAACTGCTAAGTGTTTACAAATATTTGTGTACACTCGCAATAAAACACAACATTGTGCTTCTGTCACACTCTAAACTCTTGTCAAACTGTAACCTACAACTGTCACCCAACCAAACACACACACACAGTTTTAAAATCAAAACATATTTATCCAACAAAACAGTCTGTGGGCGCCATCTTTTGGACATTCATCATATCGCATTGGTTTTCATTTCTTGTCCTCGAGTCCAGCACTAATCTGTTTATTTTTAAGTTACACATTCTACATTGATTAATAAAGAAAATCAAATGTGTTTTTAATGTTAGTATTATTTTATACAGAAATCAATTATTTAGAATTCAGATGAGAATAAAGTTAGGGTTAATTAAAATTAAGGAAAACAAATATATTGATCTGAAATATAGCAAATTAATTTTAAATTCATTCAGGTACAATTACCAAACATATCTCAAGGTCTTTTTATTAATTTAATTAATAAACTAATTGTATAAAACTATTGTCAGTGGACTACAAATAGTATAAACACCCTTATGCAAACTATTTTATATGCACATCTCAAGTGGATTGCAGAAAAAAAGTCTAGAAATTCTATAGAAACACTTCTGATGTCACAATTAGAGCAGTCAATGTCTAAATCAAATCGGAAAGAGAGCAACCTCAGTGTCCAGTACTCACGCAGACTTGCCCTCACTGTCAAGCTTGGTGGGACAGGCTCCTTTCTTCGACAGGAGGGTGGTGACTTTATCTGCCTCTCCATGCTCCACTGCACTGAGGAGACGCTCATCGTTCTTGTTCCATTCATGGGCCTAAAGAAATTTGAAAACATTTAAAAACAGCTCACAGATAAAGCACTGCAAGATCAGCTTGACAAAGACTATTGAATCTTTTGACAATATGTGTGTAACATATTAGGTCCAAAGGATGACAAAGGTAGATATAAATCAAAGTTCAGTTTGTTAAACAAAGCAAATAGGAAACTCTAAGATAGCAAAAGCAACTTACCAGTGTGTGTAACACGCATACACTAACAAAACCGAACAATGAATGAGAACTTAAAAGGAACTTAAATACAGAGGTTAATTATGAACAGAATACAAACGAGTGTGATTGTTAGAATGTCCTTGGTCACAAATTGTGGCAGGAAAATAGAAGAAAGGGAAACATGTGACTGAAGAGAAACAAACTAAAAGTCCATGAAAACGAAACTAAACAGATATTATTATTACACATTATATTATCTATATAAAGTTTTAGGATTTTGAAAAATTTTAAACAAAGAAAAAAATATTTAACTAATATTTTCACTATTTCTAGGTCACTAAATCAAATTTGATAACAAACTTGAGCTCAAGGTCTGCTATTAAAGGGAGACAAAAAATTATTATTGAGACATGTTTGATGCTAATAAAATAATTTGTAGGGCTGGGCATTGATTCGGATTCACTCACTCTTGATTCGATTCCAATATCAATTCAGTTACAGTACATGTACATTTTTCTTAAGGAAAAAATCTCTCTCAAATGTAAACGAGACAGGGTTATATTATGTTTCATTGTGTTTTTGTTAATGTTCCTATGTTTCCTTTCAATTCAGTTCAGTTCTCGTTTCTATAGTTACTAAATTCTCCTTGGGATCACACATCAACAGAAAACAGCACAGACTAAAAGATCATTTTTGGGACTTATGGGACAAATGAGAGAGCATGTTGAGAGAGCTTTTACACACTCAAAGAGAGGTTCACGGAAGCTGATCTTAGTATGACTAAAAGGGGAGTAAAAGAAAAAGAAACTAAAATAACTAAAAAGGACTAAAAGTAATGCCTCCTTCAAACTTCGAGCAATAAAAAAATTAATGATGCAATGACACCACAAGCTACAGGATCAGTCTTTGTGCCTGAATGAAGTTATCTTATTCAAATGAGGGCTGGCAATGCATAAAATCAAACAAGAAAAATGCATTGGAAATCATTTGCACGGGCTGCTCCAGACATTTACTCTATATATTATTGCATTGTGGAATTGTTGTGCTAAATTTAAAAAAAAAATTCTCCCTATTATATATGCTGACAATTGCAGATCTATACAAAGGAACAATTTCCATCAAAATCAGTCAAGGCAAAAGTAAAGCAATCATATGAAACAACGGATGAAGTCACTTGAATTTCACCTGCAATTAAGAGGCATCTCAAGGAAAATGAACCGCCTGTGGCATGAATCACATTATTTCCCTCCAGTTCTTCTGAAACCTCTCAGAAACCACAGGAACTGATTTCCTAACAAGGGCTTATTCACAACTGAGATTCAAATGCAGACAAATCTAGTTCAAATGTGTCTTTGTTGCTGTGCATAGCAGTGAAACAATGCCCAATTGCTGAACATTGCAAAACAGAGCAATTGTTTGAAGACCCCTTTGAAATTATCAATGCAAGAAAATAAATCATTCTTAGAAGTCCACAGATACTAAAAAGTTGAAGAGTTCTGAACAAACCAAAATTCAATTGCTCTAAATGTAATCTAGGCAGTGAGCTGAAAGCAGACCGCAGAGGTCAGCCGGGGAAACACAGAGGCCACAACTTAAGTCTGTCACTATTTTTAAAATGCAGTGTAATATTACACGAGCCACAGTAAACCCAGCACTATTTTGGGAGCTGTTTGACTTTGGCCTACTATCTGCAATCAGATGATGCTATTTAAAGTCAACTCACGAAACAAATGAACATCTTTTGTAAAAGAAATAGACATTTGTAAAGAATTAGCCTCCTGGCCTTGCCAGGGTGCTCAAACATCATTAACAAAGAGGTACTCCAGAACACATTGACTGATATTACATAAAAAAAAAAAAAAATATTATATTTATATATATATATATATGGGTCTATAATATTCCATCTGATGCTGGAGAAAAATCAGGATAATTTTATTCTTAGGTATACATGTTCTTTCTATTTTCTATTTAGTAAGAACAATTACAGAAAAACCAGACCAGAAACTCAGTTGAAAAGAAAGTGAACAGAAAAACGTTGATTAAAGCAGCACTAAGTAGGAATTCCGTTTTTGTCAAACAGCGACCCCTAGAGTCGCTGTGGAGTACTTGTACTGTCGTGAATAGCACTCACGCAGAGATGGCTCGCACTCACAGCCGGATCCCCTCCCCCTGTACACCGGTGCCTGTTCAGTAGGATGGACGCTGTAACGAGTGGAAATAAGGTATGGCCCCTTTAAGAGCTGCGCGCGCCCTGTTTAACTGTCGGCAGTCTGTATTGTATGTGCGCCTCGAACACCACATGTATACGGCGCCGGGTTATTTCTGTTTGATGCTCATTTTATCAGAATTTTATCAGATCTGTTTTTTGCCGTAAAGCAATTCGTTACCTCGCGAGACCTGATATCACACGATACTTCCTAACACTGAGCCCGCCGGCCCAAAGTTGCAAGGGTGGTTTTGCGGCTCACAGGCACCAGGGGGCGAGACGACCACCATTCAACACGAAATCAGTAATATAAACATTACAATGACTCCAAAGCTGTTCGGTTAAGGTAAAAAAGTTACTTAGTTCACCTTTAACAAACAGTTTTTTACAATAAAGAAATAAACAGTTAAAAAAACCTATGTACATGACACATCGCATCTATACTGCCACACCAATGCAGAGTTTGGATTACTGGATTACTAAATGACATATAAGAATGTTTCCACAATAAAAAAGGAACATTTAGTTTAAAATGTGTGTGTGGTTCTTATCAATGTATTATTTGTATTCATATTGGTCTCAAATGGTTTTGAAAAAAATGTCATTTTTTTAAGAAAAGTTTTATTCAATATATTTTACAAAATAAAACCATTTAATGTCAAAGATTTTGGGGAGTCTTGACCTTTTGCAAACTGAATTAACAAAAAAAGTAATGTATACACTAGGGGTGTAACAGTTCACAAACAAAAAAAATTATCCAAACCGTACCGTTCTCCTCCCACAGTTCGGCACACACTTGCACCGCGGTTAACCTAAAATCTAAAATCTAAAATCTGACGTTGCATCTATAATATGGTTTGTAGAAGAAAAGAAAAAACAATACGTAAAACAGACAGAGTTCCGCTAATGTATGTTTCTGTCGATGAAATGAAATGCGTTTCACGTGAGTAGCTATAATCAATCAACTGTTATTTTGTAATTCTGTTGCTGATGCTGACATCATTGTTCCTCATGTGTTGGACAAAACGATGTGTAAACTTTGTTCGATGCGAGTGCCGCATGCTCTGATATGACCAGTCATTTACGCCATCATCACCCATGTGTTGATAGCGGCGAGCGCAGGTGAGAACGAACACACAGAACAGCACACACAGCCTTCTGCGTTTAAACAGGCACTCAGTGAGAATTCAAACAGGCTCAAAACAATAATGAAAGCACTGGGCAGGGCTCGACAATAAGGACTGCCCAATGGCCGGGACGCTCAGGACAGTTGACGAAAGGGTCACTGTCCTGATCTGGCCAGTGCTGCATTGTCATAAAAGTTTATAATCTGCGTGTGGTTTTAAGCCATGCCAATTTAAATATTCAAGTGCAAGAAGACCCGAAAGAGAACTTGTGAGGAGAAGAACATGGAACATGGAAAATCTCCTCAGACAGTGAGAAAATACTAAATTGAGTTCGCTTTCAAGTCTTCTATTAGAAATTCTACTTGATTTAAAAAAAAAAACTCTCCTGGTATCAGATAATACTCAGAATTTTTTGGTATCGGATCGGATCGGTTCTGAAAAAATGATATCGGTCCATCCCTTATTAAAAACAAAGAAATCGCTCACTGCTCCTGACTGAATAATGTTTGTAACTTGAATAAGGATTAATCTTTATTTAATTTATATAGTGAAGAATAAATGCAGTGTTATTTTACATTTGATTCCTTGATCAAAAACCTACAGTAAGACCTACCTGAATAAAATTAAAACCTTTATTTTCTTTGTATCTTTGCTGTATTGTATTTATTTGTGCTATTGCTTGTAGTTTGATTAATTGTTCTTGTTTTTATTTGACAGTAGTTCTTTTTTCCCTTAACATAGCACATACCGAACCGTATCGAAAACCCATGACCCTAAAACCATGATACAAACTGAACAGTGAGCAATTTGAACTGTTACTCCCCAGCCTTCAGTGTTACATGATCCTTCATAAAAATTTTGTGGAAACACATTTTTTTCAGGAATCTTAAACAAATAGAAAGTTCACAAGAACAGCATTTATTTGAAATAGAATTTTGTTTGTCAGAATGTAAAAGTCTTTGTAACATATGATCATCATCAATTTAAAGCATCCTTCCTTGCTGAATAAAATTTCTTTAAAAAAATAGAAGTACTGACCCCATACCACTGTGTTGGGGTGGTAACAAACACATTGCAAAGAATAATAATAAACTTTTTTTTCGGACAACTGAACTTCAATGTTCTGAATTGGTAACAATTTTACATTGATATATTCTGAATGACCTTGTCATCAATGTACTGCTGGAAGTACTGGAGTGGGCTCCAGTCTCTACGGCTCAATACAGATTCATCCCGTGTAATCACACACGCTTCCAATACAGGCATGAACCTTAGGAAAAAGACAAAGCACACAGTCAATGCTGTAAAATGCTGAAGTGTTGCCTGAACCTAATTGCATTGGGTCATCCTGGGAATGTGTGTTTAATTATTTATTGTTTAATTTTGTTTAAAAAAAAAAGATATTTCCTGGAACACTTCTCTGTAGTTAATCATTTTTGCACTGATTAAAAAACCCTACATGTTGGTTTTGGCCCAGAAAGGATGATGGCACAGAGGAGGCTCTCGATCATGGTCGACCTCTGAGTATATGGATTATGGAGTATATGTAAATGGAGTATAGTGTATAGACAATAGTCAGGCATATCATCGATGGCTAATGCCTTTGAAGATATCAAGATGATAACTGGCTCGTTTTCCCATTCATGTATTAAATTATCATTATTATTACTATAAGGCTAGTATTATTATTAAATCAATATTAGGACCTACAATCAATTTGCCTTCCCTAATTTCATAATTACATCTCCACACTTGCGACACCAACACACGCGTATGATGATTTGGTGCGTTCAAGTCCTCCTGGGGAAGTTCGTACGTACGAGGTGGGAAGTCGTGTTTACGACGACAGTGCGTTCAAGTCACTTTCGTCGGAGGAAGATGGCGGAGTACTTTCTCTTAATTAATTACACAAAAACACAGTAAGGTTCTTAAACTCTTGTTCTAGAAAATGAAGAACAAAGAAATGTGCATCGGATGTACTTTGTTTTTTTATGTTTTTAATTAATTTATGAAGCCACTGCCAACTTTATCGTTACATGTTGCACTGTTATATTATAATGCCATCATATTCTGTGCAGGCAATTCGCTTAACTGCGCTGTAAATAAGAAAACCTTGACGATATCACTGCATAATATTTAAGTATTGTGGTATTCCGCCATGTTTCTCAGTGACACGCCCACAACTCGGAAAGATCGGGGCTTAGAGAAAATCCCGAACTCCCCACTGGTATTTACGACATTGTGGTGGCGTTCAAGTGGGTTCAACTCGTAAATACGATCTATACGAGATGACTTGAATGCACCAATTGAGCACTCAATGAAAATGTTTAAAAACAGACAAAACTACATCCCACATCAAAATTGAATTGCAAGGTGATCTATTAAACTGTCAAGAGTGGTTGTTATAAAAGAGACCCCTCATTCTTATACAGTTGTTGTTTAAGCCAAAATGGAAATGGCATCGTTGTTCGTCAGCATTTAGTTTTTTCCACAGTACATTAACAAACATTTAATGACACTAATAACAATACAATTACAAATTATTATTATTAATAATAATATCACTAAAATCATATCATACACTACTCGTGTAACTGTATTTAAATAGTATAGGGAAAACGCAGAGGTGTTTGGTCGCTTCTCTGTTTGGATCCTAATGAATGAACTAGTGAGTGCTAACAAAGTTTCGCCGCAAGACAGCGATTTAGTGCACGCACTGAGACGAGAGAGGTATGTATCAATTCGTCTTAGTTAAAGGGTTAGTTCACCCCAAAATGAAAATTATGTCATTAATGACTCACCCTCCAAGCTCGTAAGACCTCCGTTCATCTTCGGAACACAGTTTAAGATATTTTAGATTTAATCCGAGAGCTTTCTGTCCCTCCATTGAAAATGTATGTACGGTATACTGTCCTTGTCCAGAAAGGTAATAAAAACATAATCAAAGTAGTCCATGTGACATCAGTGGGTTAGTTAGAATTTTTTGAAACATCGAAAATACATTTTGGTTCATAAATAACAAAAACTACGACTTTATTCAGCACAGATAACTGGTACACCAGATAACACGTCATCAGCGTCACTGCGGACTCGTGAACGCGGATTGACAACAGAACCGGAAGAGAATTGTTATTTTTGGACCAAAATGTATTTTCGATGCTCATCAAAAACATCAAAGGGATGTTACATGACTGGCATTATAACAATATTGCAAAGGACCGCACAAAACAAACATCACTGCCAGTCTGATGCCAGAACCAATATGATAAATAGGCTTTTAATCCACTGTTAAGTTATGAATGAAAGAACAAACATAAGGTTTTCCAGCTATAAAAAGATGTGAAAATCTACACAAACCTCAAAAATAAACTTTAAACATCCAGCAACAGGCTGGAGATCTCCTTTTTGTCATGGTGGGCCTTTGCAAAAACAGGAAACACTTAACATTATCTCAAAAGGGCCTGTTGGACTAAATAACCAGTGGAAAACGGGGAAACATAGCACAACCATTACCTCCACCCATCGTTCAGCGTAAGCATTAAACTTTTATCTGATAAAGGTCCTCTTAAGTCGTGCAATATTTAGAACCAGAGGCAAGACAAGTGGTTCAGATCAAACGGTTTTCATGTTGAATTTGTGTTATCTGTTCATAAACTGAGTAGGACAGAACATGGCAATTTCATTAATTACCGGTAGAGGTTGAGAATCAATGGACATAGAGCATATTTCTATAGCACATTGTATAATCTCATACACTGATACCTCCCGAAAGTAAAATAAACAATATATAATTTTACTTTCTTTCCCATTGGCAAAACAATGTAGGCGTGTGGTCAAGTTGTGACCATTGTACTTGACATGTCATACTGAATATTTTCAGCACACTGGGCACTCATGCTAAATCCAAATTTAGAGACAATACTTTGATTTGCATGCAAAAGAAGTGTAACAATATTAATAGAAAACGCCTAGTGTTAAATGGGTTTTTTACTGTGTTTGTTTTGTTTATTTGTTTGTCTATCCTGACATTGTTAAGCACTTTGGTCAACTATGGTTGTTTTTAAGTGTGCTATATAAATAAATTTGAACTTGAACTTATACTGCAGCCTATACTGCCTGTACATAAGTCAAATGGATCAAACACTACAAACCATGTCCATGTGAACCAGACATTGACTTTCAAACTAATGGTTTCTCAAATTCGAAAGCGACAGCAGAGCACCTTGAGAACAGGCTGGACTATGACCTCTTTTATCAAACTCGTCTCTGTTCAAGCCTGGCACGTGTTCTCAGTTTGACCGATTACACTCACACTGCTAAAATTTGGACATCTTCTCTTTCTAGGATTCCTGAGATGTTAAGCTCAGAGCAGTTTGGTGAATGCTCGGAAAAGCACATTCCTGCGTGAGAATGTTTAAACCTCAGAATCACTCTATTACTTATTATTATTGTTACATTGTGGATAATCACATGCAGGGTTCTAAATTAACTTTTTTGATCACCAGCCAATGTGGCTGGTAACTTTCTAAAGTTACCAGCCATTTAGAATTTCCACTAGCCAAATTTTTTCCGGTGAAAATAAGAGAAATTATGAGTGCCACTGAATGCATTTGATAATTTTATTAACATTGTTGGCATGAAAAACACATATAAAGTACAATACAAGACAGAAAGTGCAAACATTTCATTTCAAGTTTGGGATCTATCTCTATTAGGGATGTGCACGAATATTCGAATTTTCGCTCTGTAATTATTATTAAAAAAATAAAATACTAATACTTTTTTTCTTCAATTTTTTTTCGCAGTTATAATTAAATGCACTGGGTGGAGCATTTAACAAGTGGATTGTGTTTTTGATCACATAATGTCGTTGTCTGCCTCGCGAAGTTTGGAATTACTTAGATGAAAATGATAGCCTATTACAAAATGGAATTACGTTTAATCAATTATTAATTATTATTATTATCATAATATCACCACCACAATGAGAAATCACATGAAATCCAAAGAAACAGCAGTCGACTGAGGAAGCAGCTGTCCATCACTGCATTAACGACTGCAGGTCAGCAGCTGTACCCCGATATCTTCTGGTAGCAAAATGATTTTGACATATGCTTCCTTTAAGTTTCGTTGAGGGAGACAGGTTTAAGAACAGAAAACGTCTCTGGTTACTTGCGTAACCTATGTTCTCTGAATAGGGAACGAGACGCTGCGGAAAGCGCAGTGGGATATTCTCTGAATGTGCCGATTGTCTGAAGCCTTATAGAATCACGCCAATTCATTGGCTGATGGCGTCCGCGCGATATGGCTCCGCCCCGACGCTCTTACGTCGCATCATTACATATTCGCGCGCGCCATCTGCTCCTCAGATTTCTCTGCCGAAAAGAAACTGTCAGCAGCGCGAGGAGCTTGGCCGCTAACGCAGCGTCTCGTTCCCTATTCAGAGAACATAGGTTACACAAGTAACCAGAGACGTTCTCTTTCATAGGTTCACTCAACGCTGCGGAAAGCGCAGTGGGAACGGACTACCAAACTCGCCAAGCTAGAGCGCTTTTATAACTGGTAGATAAAAGAGACAACGACCGAAATGAGTTCAAACAGAAAGAACCTGGGAACCCGGGGTCATGTCAAGATCCAAGCTATAGAACCTTACAAAAGTGTGCGGAGAGGACCAGCCTGCCGCAACACAAATATCCTCCAAAAGTGCTCCTCTGAAAAGAGCTTGAGAAGATGCTACACTTCTGGTGGAATGTGCTTTAATGCTAAGAGGTGAAGGCAAGCCACGCACCCCGTAAGCCAACGAGATAGCCTCTGTGACCCAGTGAGAAATCCTCTGCTTTGATGCAGCAAGCCCACGGCGGCTAGCACCGAAGCAAACCAGAAGCTGGTTAGATTTCCTCCAACCGCCTAAGCGGTCTACATATATCTTAAGAGAACGAACTGGGCAGAGCAAGTTAAGCTTCCTATCTTCCTCAGACGAAAATGGAGAAGGGGGGAAAGCGTTAAGGTTAACTACCTGTGAGCGGAAAGTTGAGGAAAGAACCTTGGGGACATACCCTGGTCTCGGCCTCAAGGAAACTTTGACCAGGCCAGGGGCAAAGTCCAAGCAAGACTCGCTAACAGAAAGAGCTGTAAGCAGGGGCGTAGCAGCCATTATAAAAGTGGGGGGGACAAAATGGTGTGGTGATGTGACCCAAAGGTCAGTCCTTCCAGAAAAATGCGGAGTTTTTTTGTGATTGTTGCGGGCAAAATTCCTTGATTATGCGGCGA